TATGAACATGGGGAGGCTGTGGTTTCCTGCTGATGAGCGTCGAGGCCCTGCTCTGCGCTCCTCGTACTCGTGTGCGTGTTGACTGTGTTTCTCTTTTTCTGCCGAGTTGGTTCGTGTGAGGAGCACGCGTTGTCGAGGATCCGATATGAACGACTGCCGAACCTGTCGGCGTGAAGCAGGTGCAGGCTCAAGATCCTCATTTCGGAGAGAGCCTGTTTCTTCATAGGACGTGTCTGTGTCCCGACGTGCTGGGTGATGGTGTGCGCGGGCTATGAACATGGGGAGGCTGTGGTTTCCTGCTGATGAGCGTCGAGGCCCTGCTCTGCGCTCCTCGTACTCGTGTGCGTGTTGACTTGTGCGTGTGGACTTTTATTTTCACCTTTTGCTCCTGTGTTGTGTCTATGACCGTCCGCTTGTTGCATGTTATAAAAGTTAGTGTTTGGTCTTATGTCTAGTGTTGGATACTGCAGTGCGTGCACTCCGTTTGTAGTAAACTGTGGTTTACTGGTTGCGAAGCAGGTATCTTCCCGTTGTTGCGTTTCGATCGAAGGGAGCGTCTTAATTGTCTCGTGTTCATGCCGTAGGTGGCTTTGCTCAGGTGGTTGTTTAGGAGATACAGAGGTATTGAGGCTATGGAGAAGTACGCGAGAACTGTTGCAGATGGTGTTCGTCCATTCGTCCGTTGATGTCCCTGCTGGCCTCTGCGTTTCGTTCTGTTTGTATGTGCAGTGCTGCTGCTGCGTCTTGCCCGATATGACAGGTACTGGCTGCGGTACCTTTGTCACAGCTTCCTCAGGCACCGCTGTAGGCGGCTCCGTTTGACTAAGGAAAGCTTTGGACATTCCTTCGTATCCCATAAGCACTGTGTTTGGTTCACCGCGATTGTGAATCCTCCCAGCAAATGCCACTGCCCCAGAAAGTGCACTGGCCCTTTTGTCTGCAGTTTGTGGGGGCATGCTTGGAGTGTCTTTGTCTGGCGGTAGCACTAAATTCTTCTCTAAGTGACGTTTCTCGTTGGCTCCATTAGTTGGCGGAGATGGGCCTGCGCGATGGAGGGCATTTGAATGCAGACCACCCGATTGATCCAACAGGAAAGGGTAGGAAAGAAGGACTTGATCAGATGCCAGTACAGCTTCCTGTTGCTGAGCGGCTTCACTTGATCCGCAACGTGACGGTTTCCCACAGGGGCTGCAGGAACTCGGAGATCCAAACGTTTCCGTTGAAGCGCTTCCGTGGGGAGGATCTTTATATACTGGTATCGGCAGCCATTTTCTCTTGCGCTTCTCTCCACTGGAACTTTTAAGTCCCGTTGCTAATTCCTCTATGTGCCTTTTCTCTGAACTGATTAGGACCCTGTTGACAGGCACTGGAACGCCCCGTTTGCTGCCAAGAGATGGAAAGGAAGGAAGCACTCTGTGGGTGGCGGATGAATTGCCTAATGTTTTAGAGGCCCTGCGCTGATGTTTCAGCCATATAAAGGCTGAACTGCTGCGCCGGCGAGCCCCTGGAGGGTCACGCAAAGGCTTCGGCTGGAGAATCATACTATTGACCGAAATAACGCAGTGTCATGACTCATGCGGATGTGTTCTACGTGGCAAAGCTCTATAGTGCATCTTATTCAACTTCGGTCTGCGTTCTCTGGTGACCTCGTGTTCGCAAGCCCGGTGGCTGCTCAGCTCGCAGGCCTGTGTGTGCCTCTGCTCGCCGCATAACTAGCGATGGAACTCATGAATGGGCGCTCTAAATTCCATTACGAATGAAAGGAAGTGGAACTAAGAGATCAAGAACGCTCTTGTGTTCGCAGGCTTCCGCGTCAGTTCACGTAGATACTTTGCGTGGGTCAGTCCGTGGGCTTCCTCTGTGGTGGCTTGGGATTGAATCTGTGGCCATTTAAAGCGGCTTCTCTCGCTGAATTAAAAAACTTCAAATTAATTTTTTTCCATCGAGGATCGCGGCCGGATTTCGGGATTTCAAGTTTCAGCTGCATCACCTCCAGGGTGCGCCGCCGACTGCATGCAAGTCGGCTCCTCCGCGAGACGCAGCGGCGGCGCTTGCAGCTCTCGCTCGCGGGATCTTTCCCTTCTTTTTTGGCTTTTTAATTTGTTTTTGAGTCCAGATTACTTCCCAGGCCCCTCAGAGGCTGAAGCAGAATGGCTCTGGGGCCGCCCGTGCGGCCGCTGGCACTGTGCCTGTTTGCCGTCATAAACGCGGTCTTGTGCTGGCTCTGGTGGCGCGCTGTGCAAGTAGAACGGCACGAAATACCTGATCCATGCATGCACGATTCAATTTCCAGTTTGTTCATCCCCTACTTCCCGGAAAATGCAGATCGGCGGGCCTCCGCAGCAGCAGCAGCAGCTTCCGGGAAAGAAGAAGTGCAGCCACTCTCTGCTCCGCTGGGCTCCTGCGCGCTTTCAGAAAGCTCGCTACTGCAGCGCCGCCTCTGGCAGCAGCAGCTGCAGCAGCAGCAGCAGCAGCTAGCCAGCAGCGGGGCTGCGGGGGCCTGCAGCGCTGCAGCAGTGCCCCCGGAGCAGCTGCTGCAGTGGGTCACTCTGCTTACGGTGGTGCCTCTGTGCGACGAGGCCTCTGCTGCTGCGTCTGAGGTGTACAGACACCTCGTGGCCCTGGGGGGGGCAGCAGCACACCCAGCCAGCAGCCAGTGCACAGCCATTCCCGTAGCATCTGTGCTGGCAGCTGCAGGGCAGCAGCAGCAGCAGCAGCAGCAGCAGCAGCAGCCCCGCTCGGGAAGCTCCCAGGGGCTGCTGGCTGTTCACCTGGTCGACAGTTTGCAGGCAGCAGGCGAGTGCCCTTCCCTAGCAGCAGCTGCTGCTGCGCTGCAGCAGCAGCGCAGCAGCAGCTGGAAGCAAAGGGGCCCTCAAGTGCAGTCGCAGCTGCAGCTTCTCGTGGCTTCTCCACTGACACGGGAAGTTGAGTTGCTGCCTCGCGTGCACATTGGGAGCGGGAGCTCTTTGCTGCTGGTGGTGCCCAGGAGGCAGCAGCAGGCGGCGCAGCAAGACGCAGCAGCAGCAGCAGCAGCAGCAGCAGCAGCAGCAGCAGCAGTGGTGCAAGTGCTGGGCCGCTGGGTCCTCTCCCCCGCAGTCCTCGCGCCAGAAGCAGCAGCAGAGTGGAGAATCCACTTCTGGCTGCTGGGCGACGGCCACCCGAAACCGAAGGCAAACAGCAGCAGCAGCAGCAGCAGCAGCAGCAGCAGCAGCAGCAGCAGCAGCAGCAGCAGCAGGGAATCAGGTGAAGTGGGGGCCCCCCAGCCGCTGCAGTGGGCCCCCGAGTCTTTCTTGCGAATTTACCTGCGGGGATTTCTGGAGGCCCTCAGCAGCCTCGTGGACTTGAGCATTTCGTCTCAGGTGAAAAAGAAATAAATTAAATCAAATTCTTTAATTTTAAAAAGCAATTAAGACAATTAAATACCAATTCAGGCCTTTAATTAATTATTACTAAAATTCCTGACTCCCCTTCAAACACGTGCTGCTGCTGCTGCTGCTGCTGCTGCTTTGCAAACAACCCAGCAGCAGCAGCAGCAGCAGCAGCAGCAGCAGCAGCAGCAGCAGCAAGGGCCAGTTTATCTCAGTCTCCTCGGCTCATCTCTTTTCCCCTGTGCATCTCAAACTTCTTATCTCAGATCGCGCCTGTTGCCCAGTATTCTCCAGTTTCCTTTGCTGCTGCTGCTGCTGCTGCTGCTGCTGCTGCTGCTGCTGCTGCTGCTGCTGCTGCTGCTGCT